TTCTATATTTTTAATTACATCATTAACATAAGCCTCGGTTTCCCATGGTAACACCCATTTTGAAGCACTGCACAGATCTGAACTAGGCAGTGTCACGAGCGGTGCTGGCAGCCTGTGTTACTCAGCTCCTGGCAACGCACGGGGACCGTTATTTGGGAACCCGCGTTTCCGCATCTTGCTCATCACAGATACTCCAGGCTAGCGTGAGCCAGAGAGGCCAGTTCAGACACGCTCTGAAAACTGCGTCACTGTCTTCGTCACAGCAACGCCCGAGGAGCAGGGAACGCGCGCAGGCTGCCAAGATCTGCTGTGTGTCATTTGCACAACTGCCTGCTTGGCCCTTGGGCAACAAGCACCTGCAGGCCAACATCTCTTGCGCTTCCTCCGCCTGACCTCGGCGGCCACTCGGCACAGAGCGCACCCGTTAGCTGCAGCATTGCAACAGCCTTAAAGGGCTCTGAGCCCCCTCTCCTTGCTGTGGGGGGGAGGGGGGAGAGAAGAGAAGGGAGGGGGATGCTCTCTTGCTAACGGGACCAAGCTTGAAAACGTAGGCTGCAGAAGCAAAGCAGTGTGTAACATGGACCTTTTCTTTGCCAGGCTAAGATCTGCAGCTAGACTCACACTATTAGCCAACTGGGGACTCAAACCTTATCACTTGGATGCAGCAATGCGGTCAACTTTACAGTCCAGTATTTATAACGGACCTACAACCCTTCCCTGTCTGCACGTCTTCTGTCAACAGACAACATATTGTGCCGAGCAGTGTCTGTACCCTCCTTACCTCACAAGGCTCACAACCTGAGGAGACATGTACCACCATCATGCCCATTTTACAGATGGAGAACTGAGGCAGACCCATAGGAAGCCCAACGTCACACAGGACCTTAACATCAAGCAACTAGGAGTTGAACTCAGCTCTCCTGATGCCAACCCTTCCATCCTTGCATGGATTCATTGCACTCTGGATGTCGCCCATGGCCATTGGGGGCCTCCCGGTGCCAAAGCGCACGGCAAAGCCGGGTTTACTGAAGCCACTTGCTGAAGAGCAGGCTTATTTCACGTTACTCCCACTCTCCCTGCGGAGCGGCCACCAAGCGAGAGTTAGCACATCACAGCTGTGCACAATGCTCCCGGCCTCCCACGCCAACGGAGCAGCGCGTCTAAATCCAGCTAATCAGATAAGCCACACTGCGCTCGGACTGAGCCCCTGTCACTAGGTTTGAGTCTCAGCGTCTCTAGAGTCTGCAACTTCAGCCTTCACACAGACAGCACGCAAGGCCCGACAGGGAGGGCACTGGGCCTAAACAGACCTTAGCTCCACTCCTGGCTGGGCAACTGACTCCCTGGGAGAGGCAAGACTGTACTCTTTAAAGGCCTCACACTTGCACAAAAAACCAGCACCCGTGCCTCAGTTTCCCCCTTTTAAAAATGCACCTAATACCTTTGCAGAGGGAATGCAAGGCACCTTCGATGCTTTTAGTTCCTGAAATCTTCAACCCCCAGCGAGCGAGCAGTTCTGTGCTCTTTGCTCTTGCGGTCTACCCAACGAAACCACTCAGAAATAAACCCATCAAGGCCTGGCCCCCAGGAGTCCTGCTAACAAGCTTACGGAGGATGCGTCTAGAGGCGACCATCCTGCATTAGCAGGCAATTTACTGACAAGCATCCGGTACCAGGGTGATCCTAAGTGAGGCTGCGACAGTGCTGAGAAGCACATGCACATCTGGCACGAGTGCTGCGGTTCACACCTCTCTCAAACAACGCTTCGGTGTTGGTTACATGGGGGGCTGCGCCGAAGGGAAGACACAGAAAGCTCCCACCAGGGCAAGCCACGTGCTTCGTTAGCCTGGGACAGGTTTTACCAAGTCCATAGCACACGTGGCCCTGGTAGCTGGGGGTGTCAATTAGCAAGGTCAGAAAGCAAATCGCTCCAGCAGCCAACAACGAGACTGGTTGGGAAGGAGCCTCCTGGGACCAGAACTCCTCTCAGCTCTGACAGCACCTCACCTCCATAACGGTGCAGTCAAAAAACATAGGCACCAACTGCCCGAGCATGCCAGGCAGTGGCGGATTTGGGGCAGGGTGAGCGGGGCAGCTGGGGCACAGCTGGGGCAAGAGGCAGGACGAGGGGCAGTTTCAGAGAGCCAGGTCCCAGACCAGTTGTACAGCAACATGCCAAGCAAAGGCACCAGGGGAATCCAAGGCTGCAGACCACTCTAGTGAACAGGGCATGCTATGCACCCTCCAGCCACGAGACACTCCAACCCAAAAATGCTTCCCCCTGGATGCACCATCTCCACCAGCCACTAGGAAAAGCCAGCGTAACTCCCTCTATCCTCCTGGGTTACTTGGGAGCAGGGAACATTCACCTGTGTGCCTGATGGTTTTTTATTAAAGGAGTTCCTGAGTACCTCAGCGGCGATATTGGCGAGTTGGGGATGCCCTATCCACTCCCTTGCTCCTAAAGGAATATGCAATGGCAGTGCCTCCAGCTGGCTGACCCCGTACACACCGAATGGTGTACCTTGGGAGCCTCCAGGAATAACGTATTCCAATAATCTGGATCCAACTCAAACAATTCTAAATAAGATAATTCTAATGCATTCAGTTAGACATAACACACCTTTACTCAACAACCTAAAGAAACAGGAGTTAGACTAAAATCAATTCAAGTGGACAAATAAATGAAACAACTGGCATTTACCCTGCCACCACGTACCCTCCCCAGAGTGAGCACTCTGGATCTCTGACTCCCAGATGCGTGTTCACATGGGCGCGCTTGAAGAGCTGAGGCTGGAGTGGAGACAGCCCTGTGCAGGTTGTGTATGTGTCAGTCCAGGCAGCAAACTACACAATCCCTCTGCCACTGAAGCTGGCCCCACCATATGTCAGCAGCTCTGGTTCACTGGGCAGATCACTCTGGCTCTCTTTGGACCCAGGGTCAGTCTGTCTTCTGTGCTCCGTCCCAGGCAACACTTTCCCAAACAGCCCCAGTTACTCACAGTACCTTCTATGCAGGCCCTTCTCAGTCATAACCAGGGTCTCTCACCTCCAGGCACAGTCACCAACAGCCCATGAAGCAGCCTGATAGATCAAAGCCCCAGCAGGCTCTAGCTTCCAGCAGCAGCTCCTGGACTGGAAAAGGCTCCACAACAGCCATCTGGGTCCTCTCTCTGAACTGGAGCCCAGGAACCCTCTCCCTGCACTGCCTGGAAGAGTACAATAGTTTGCCTCCTTCCACTCCCTGCCCCCCCTCATTCATTCCCCCCCCCCCGCTGCCAAGGGCTCATGGGAGTTGTAGTCTCTAGAGCTAGACTGCAGCACAAAGGATTCTCCCAGTAAAAGTCAGAGGCTTCTATAGTAAGGGGACTACACCAGGGTCCTAGTTTAGTAGGAAGGGCACATGGAACATACAGGCAATGTTCCATCTCAGAAAGGCTCCCAAGCAGCTACACAGCCCTTGAACAAGATGGACGCACATGTGGGCCTCTGGGCTGAGCAACCAGCTGCCCTCTGTCTCCCAGAGGGAGGCGCAAGCTCAGCCAAGGGCCACTCGGCTCACTCCAAAGAGATCGGTAATTGAGTCAAACATCGCATCGGAAGTAGCAGCAAAAGCTGCCCACCTGCAGAACGAGACTCCTTGTCTTTTCCCATCCTGATGGGAACAGCATTGCATAAAACTGGTTAGCTAGGGTTAACTGTAGTTCAAAAAAAAGACCATTTGTGGTGGATGCATCCACCAGGAATGGTGAAATTTGCAAATACTGGGAGCCATGGCTCCTGGCCCCCAAACTCACCACGGGGCCTAGCAGCTGTGGCGAGTTCCTCATGACTCCCAGCCCTTGTCTCCCCCCCTCACCCAGTCCAGGCAACCCACGCACACACAGAACCGCAAACAGCGATTGTGAATCTCAAGATTCTCTTGTACAAGACTTTGGATGGGAAAAAAGTGTCAAGCTTCCAATGGAAAAAAAAATCTGCACACACAATATCCAATTCCCTCTCCCACATTTTTAATCAGCTCTAATCACACTTATCTACTCACTCCCCATATACAGGCCTCACCTCAGCTTGACCAGGATCAGAGACACCTATAGAACTGGCTCATGGATGTTGGATGAGTAATATTCCCCTCTCAGCGGGAGTGGTTTCTAAGTCCGATGGCGTGTGTGGAAGTTGGGCATATCCAAAGATAGTTCCTTGAACCGGGGCTTAGCCAAGTCCAGCTGGCTGTGCGCCCTGGCACAGGCGTGGGCAGCCTTTACCAACCCCAGTCCCGCTGGCTTTCAGGATCAGCTGGGAAGGCTGCAGCTCCATCTTACAGATGGCTGCTCAGTGACCTGTGCACGCACGCCCCTTCAGTGAAGCAAACAGGGTAAAAAAAAAAAAAAAAAAATCTAACCAGCACAGATGGCACGTTCTCCCCACCCCTCCTCCTGACACGGTTCTGATGCCCACGGGCAAGAAATAATCTAATGAACTCATTGTACTAGATTGAAACACTTGGACCAAAGCAGATTTTGATTATTTCTGGAATACAGCAGTGAGCAGAGAAGATCGCGATGGCAGGAGTCTAGACCCTGAAGAAAAGGCGTCTAAAAATGAGAGATACCCTGTCTTATTACACAGCACTCACAAGGCCAAGCACAACCTGGTGGGGGCCCAAAACAGATGCAATAAGCCTTAAAATATAAAATCAAGAAGGGGGATTTTAAGTTCACTTCATATGCACCATTTGGTCTAATTACACATCAGAATCAATAGGATGTAAACATGACAAAATGCTAATGAACCTGCCATTAGTATTCTGTGCTGAAGCAGGCTGCAGGCCTTCTGAAATGCTCCAAGGGGCCGTGTATGGCCCACAGGCCTAGATTGGCCACCCTGCTCTAAACAAACCCATGGCTTCGCCCTGCAGCCCTACCACCTGACGCCACGTAAGCCCGAGGCTGCTGTCGAGAGTTCAGCTGTAAGAGGAGGAGAAATGCAACATCACTCACCGCCATGACGAGCTCAAAGGGGTATTTGTAGACTCGAACAGGGGACTGGTACTTCTGCACCATTTTTACTGCATGCCTGCAACGGGAAGAGAAGCATGGCTGTTAGAAATGAAGTGTTCAGTGTTAAAATCTAACAAGCATCACCCTACTTCACATTTGGTCACTAGACCACAAAGTGCTGTGCAAAAGGAGGTTGGTATAATTGTGCCTCAGTTTCCCTAACTGTAAAATGGGGATAAAGGGGTGAATTGCTTGAGATCACCGACCAGCAGTCAGGTATAGGATCCAGGTCTCCCTTGTCTCAGTGTAATGCTGTATCCACTAGGCCCCACTGTCTTCCTTATAAGACTTGTATGTTCCTGCTTCTCAACACCATTAAGTGGTATTTGCAGCAGAGCCCAAATGCAACTTACCAACAGAAGTTGGAGCTGCTTGACCGTCTGGGAGAAGGAAGCCCATAGGCAGCTCAGCAGCCTGAATTCTATCTGCTCTCCATGTCGCCCACCAGCACCCAATATCTGGTGCTGCAGCTCTTAGTCCGGCACATGGGATTTAAGACACTGCTTAATCCCCGTGAAGACAACAGCCAGAGGGCTTCCGAACTGCCTACCACTTAACTAAGAATCACACCAACTGCTACAGTGACACGAAGGAAAATAGTTGCCTCGGTTACAAACCTCCACCCTTCCTTTATCCAAGCCGCCCCTCGTGGCTCCCCTCAGAATTCCTCCACCACCTCTTTCACTGGGTGTTTCTCACACACACACACACACACACACACACACGAATCCATACACCCGTAGAAAAAGCTTGTGGTGTGAGTTCCTCCTCTCTCAGTCCTTCCCCTGCTGTTAACACCAAGTGTCTAAGAACAGGAGGCCCACAGAAGAGAGACTCCGGGTCTACTCCACGCTGCTCCTACCCCACTCAAATTCCAGTGCTAAGCAGGCACTGAACAGGCTGTCGCCCAGCACTGAACTCAGCTGTTAGGACACAGAGCAGCTAATCCCCGCTGTAAGCCAAGGATTGGAGGTGAAATGGAGCTAAAAGGCTCTAAGCGCCAATACAGCCATCAGCTCCAGGAAGATTTCTACAAGAAAGCTACTTGGCCCTCCTGCAGGGAAGCACCTAGGGATCTCAATATTGGGGTGGGGACAGCAGAGGAGAATACAGAGAGAACAGCCCCTCAGTTCAAACCCTTTAGATAATGTGAGTACCTGAATGAAGATTAGTGTTAGCTGGTAGCTAGAGAGAGTCTCACGCTCAGCTAGAGAAACACTTAACTCTTTAAATCCATACGACACTGGAGCCTAGAGAAACAGCACCAGCACTGAAATCGAAGAGAGGCAGGCCCAACAGTGTGGCGACAGGCCCCAGGGCATCCGACACCAGCAGCAAGCGAACAGGGCGCAGGCGAGTGAGCCCCCAGCGAGCGAGGCAGATATCACATAACGGGTCCCCGAGCCAGGAGGAGGGCAGGGCTCCTAGTAACAGAAGGCTGTAATTTGATTATGTAACTGTGATACCCAGGAGTGTAGGCCAGGTAAGAGCTAATCGAGTGGAAGAATCCTAGCAGCCCCAGGAAGTTAGCTGTGATCCGGTTAGCACTCACTGACCGGGCTCCCATCTATGAAACCCGTAGGGGCAAAGAGTCCTGCAGGGAGAAAGCAGCAGCCCATACACGAGCAGTCGGTCTTGCGCCCATGCCGGAGACATGAGCCCTTGCTAACTGAACCACAAAATGGCATCAAGAAGGCAGCAGCACAGTGGCGGTGTTGTTTTGGACTCCACTGTGCCGCACCATAACAGGGAGTTACTGCCCCTCTGGGGGCCTATTCCCCAATTCCCAGTAACAGTGGCTTGAGAAACAGTTTGGAAGGTCTAGAAGCCTAGAGGGCTGTGGGAAAAGCCATCACACTCAGAAGCCCTGGGGCGTTCCCAGGGAGAAGTTGCTGGCAGTTTCCATTTCCAGAACAGCTCCAGGAATTCGGGACGAATGCTCAGCTTTCCCAGGCTTCTGCCAGAGTTTCCAGACAACGCCTGAAATCCCCAAGGAAAGAGGGTAAAGCAGTGGGACGTGCCTGCTGACTACCTCAGCCAGAGAGCAGCAGTTGAGGGATTTCATGCTGCATCACATACCTGTGTCCCACTTGGGCCTATGGTCACTGGATAAACCTTAACCATGGCCTCTGCCCAGGATCTACAAACGACAGGATGAACCTCTGTAATCCGGCACCCTTGGGACCTGTCCTGTGCCAAACTAGAGAATTTGCCGGACCACGGGAGGTCAATATTGTCTGGCAGCATCACCAACGCTGCCACTGCTTGCTGGGCTCTTAGAAGACATTTACGGGTAAATTAGAGCTAAAGAACAGCACAAAGCCAGGACAGGTGGCTGGAAACAAACTTTATTGGACTGTGAAGAAACTTGGCCTCGCCCACGGTAAGTGGATTTCCAGCTGACTAAAATCATGCTGGACCACAGATGTTGCTGGACCAGAGAGGTTCAACCTGTAGTGGGAGCACAACTTCAGCCAGAAGGAGACTTTTCCATCCTTTTTTGTTTGCCAATAGTACCGACACTGCAGCCCCTGAACTACCCCGATGGCAGCACTGAAGGGGCACATGGAGATGACCGATGTAGGAGAGCGTCTACACAGAACCCTCACCTCGAAAAAAGCGAGCTTATTTCAAGCGGATTTCAAAACGTGACGCTGTCCACACTAAGGATGTTAAAATGCGCTTAATTGACTAGTCAACTAGTTGATGGAATTTCCGCATTCCTCCTTTGAAATATACAAGTCCTGCCCCAGCAGGGGCTCTTGTGCATTTCAAAACCCTGCAGCCTGGGGTCCATATTACGCTGCATGCCACTAGAAGTCCAGCATGAGCTGGGGACTCCTCAGCTGACCCTGGGTTTTGCAGAAATACCTCACCGCAGCCAGGGATCAGCTAGGGAGTCCCCAGCCGACCCGGGGCTGTAGGGCTGCCCCTTTGAATCGCACAGGTGGCATTTTAAAGGGGCAGCCTGCTGCACAGCTTATCCGTGTATCAGCAGTGCAGCGGCCGCCTTGGGGTTTCAAAGTAGCAGCATCACTGTGCAGCACTGCCACTTTGAAGTACCCTTCTTCCCCCCCTTCCCGCTGCCTCTGAGGCAGCAAGGTGGGAGGGATATCAACTAGTCAAAAGACTATCCGATAAGCAAACGACACCCCTAGTCTACACAGCGCCAAGTTCTGAAATAAAGCACTAATCCGAAACACCCGTTATCCCTCGTGCAATGAGGTTTACAGGGACGTCAGAGTAGCGAGTCGGTTATATTTCGATAGAACGGGCTTAGTCTGAAGAGCGGGATAGGTATTGCAGGACGCCGGAAGTATCCCCAAATGGCTCTGCAGCGTAGACATAGCCTAGCAGAGCTCGTTAAGGAACTTTTCGGCAGCCGATTTCCCAAAGGCGCAGGGAAATCCTATGGATGGGACCTGCGTGCCCACTATTGGCCCATTTCCAGGCATACGTTTACTAAGGGATACTAGTTAGTAGTGGTGCAAGCCGTAACGGACCACGTAGGCAAGGGCCTGACTGGGCCATTCTCTGCACAGCTAAGTGCCCATGGCCACTCCCCCCCTCCACAGAAGT